TAAAGAAGCACTCCTCACACTTTAATGGACAAACCATACAAGTTACATAGGAAACTTGTTAAAATTCAGATTCTCCATCTGACCAGTAGGTCAGGGTAGGGCCTGAGACTCCGCATTCCTAACAAGTTCCTAGGTAATGCCCATGTTTCTGGTCCCAGAACACACTTTGAGCAGCAAGGCCTTAGAAAACTTTCAACCCCTTTTCCTATTTACATTAGACAGTAACAGTAAGAAACATGGCCCTCAGCAGGAATATTAGTCTAAGAATTCCAATGAACTGTCTCCTTTAATCCTCACAGCGATTTTGTGACACAATCACTTTATTTTATAGTGGAGGAAACTGAACGTCAGGGAAGTCACTCCCAACAGGCTGACTTGGGTTTAAATAAGACTATGTGGATTCCCTGCCTGTGCCCTTAACCAATATTAAAAATGCCTTTGTCAATGTTTTCTAAAAGGACACATTCAGTAATTCCCTCAAGAGCAGGGTCCCTGCGTCACCTTGTCCAGGGCTTTCAATTTAATTCAGCAAAGTACTGCACACCTACGTGCCAAGCACTGCATGGGTGTGAGGGCCAACAGTGGTCAAGATAGGCAGGATCCCTGTCCTTAGGGGCACAATCCGGGAGGGAGACAGTGAAAAATGTCAGGATACGGTGTGTCAAGGTCACATGGATACTATTAAAGCAGCACGGAGAGGCGTTCTAACCAGGAATGGCGGGTGTGGAGGCTGATCTGGAAAGGATTTTAGGAGTAGACATATCTAAGGTGGAACTCTTAACAGTGAGGGAAGGTAACTTTTCAAGTAGGGAGACCAAAAGGTGTCAAAAATCCTGGTGGGACTAAACTGCCATCAGTGCGCGCGGGAAGCCAGGCAGGCCGGCCCCCTCCGCCAAGCGGGAGGAGGACGCGAGTCCCGATGCCGGCGCCCACAGCCCAGCTCCGGAAGCCCCGCACCTGACTCCTCCCGGAAGTGCTCCCGGTAGGTCCGCCACCAATGTGGTTCCCGCGCCTCCTGCTCCGCCTGGCGCCGGTAGCGGTCGAAGCTGCGGTACTTCTTCAGCCGGTCTAGGTTGCTGACATCGATGTCCTCGTTGGGCATCGGCCCCAGAGGAGGGGTCCGGCGGCTCAGGGCGGCTGCAGGCAGAGAGCAGGACGTCAGGCCAGGCCCCACAGAGGCCGGGGGCGGGCGCTGGCTCGAGCCCCAGGGTTAGGGTACACGGGGACCTTCAAGAGCCCTCCCCACCCCCAGAACCCTCACCTGAAGTGCTGAAGCCCCGCCACCCCCGACTTCCGCACAGCACGGCTCGCCACCAGGGCGCCGCCATTTTCCCCTTAAGGCCCGTCAGAGACGGCAGGAGAGCGCCTGAGCGTACGACAGAGGCCACGCCCCTCAAGTCCCGCCCCCGCGTCCCAGTAGCCGCGCCTCCGCCCAGGCCGCGGAGCCCTCCGTTCCGGGGTCCCAGGGCGCCTTCCTTCAGGCTGAAGGTAGCTACGGGCCCTGGGCGTGCCCAGTGGGC